CCCGTCGTTCCAGCCTCTCAAGCGGCCCAAGTTCGCCGCTCCCTCTGCCTCTGCCGAAGCGATGCAGACCATGAGCGCCAAGGCCAGAGGCAAGGCCCGCGACACCATCGACCTCACGCGGTCCTCGGCCTTCCAGCCGCACAATGGGGCCAAGCGGATCGTCATCAAGAACCTGCGGCAGCCCGGCGCCGCCCGCGAGGCACAGGTCCGCGAGTACTACGCCGAGACGGAGAAGATCCTCGACGACATGCTGACCGTGGTGCTGGCGGGCGGGAAGCCCCATGTCCCCCTCGAGCGGCTCTATCGGGGCGTCGAGGACCACTGCCGGAACGGGAACGCGGGCAAGATCCATCTGGTGCTGAGGGACCGCGTCGACTCGCATGTGTCCCGCGTCATTCTCCCCAGGGTGCAGCGGAGCGGCGAGGGGTCGAACCTCAACATGGCGAAGCAGCTGTTGGCGGAATGGCATCTCTTCAATGCTCAGATTGTAAGTTGATTGGGATATCCTAGATGCTATTCAAACAGAATTGGGAACCAGGGACCGCAGCCACTGACTTGTACTTGGTCTGCAGAAACTCATCCGGTCTATATTCAGTTTCCTTGACCGGACATACCTCCTCCGCGAGAAAAAGACAGCCATCAATGACATGGCCATTACCTTCTTCCGCAAGATGGCTTTCCCCTCCAACTCGGAAATATACGAAACGGCTCCAGGAAAGAAACTTGTTCTTGGCATGTGTGAGTTGATTGAGCACGACCGGAGGGGGGACGAGCTCCGAGATGCGGAGCTTCTCAAGGGATCGATCCGTATGCTCTACGTCCTGGGCGTTTACTCAAGATCATTCGAGCCTGTCTTCACGAAAACGTCACAGCTCTACTTCAACGAATTCGGCGAGTCCCACGCCTTGTCGAATCTGAAGTCGTACATTCAGGCGTGCGAGAAGCTGCTGCTCAAGGAGCACCACCGCTGTCTAGAGTTTCACATCGAGACTGTAACAGAGAAGCAGCTTATGGATGCTGCTCATGTGACACTCATCGATAACTACACTGATAAGCTACTCAATGGGGAAAGCTTCGCCAAGCTGCTCTCCAGCGAAGATGTCGAGTCCGTCAAAGTACTGTACGGGCTCTTGCGACATTCGCGGATCCAGAAGAAGCTCAAGGATCCCTGGGTTGAGTACATCAAGGCTACAGTGGCACAAATTGTGGGGGACAAGGACCGCGGTGACGAGATGGTACTTCGGTTGTTGATCCTCAGACGGTCGCTGGATGTCATGATCCGGGACGCCTTTGGGAAGGACGACGAGTTCCTCTGGGCGATGCGAGACGCTTTTGGCAAGACGATGAACGACTCCAAGGTCTCTGTCTGCTGGGGCTCGGGAACGTCCAAGATTGGAGAGATGATCGCCAAGCACATCGACCTTCTGCTCCGCGGCGGCCTCAAGAGCCTGCCTCCGGCACTCTTCTCGGATGCCAAGGATCGCGCAGCGGCACAGAAGGAAGGCATATCAAGCACTGCCGATGAGGACGCCGAGCTCGACCGGCAGCTCAACCAGTCGCTGGAGCTGGTCCGCTTCATCGAAGGGAAGGATACATTCGAGGCTTTCTACAAGAAGGATCTCGCACGACGGCTACTGATGGGTCGTAGCGCTAGCCAGGACGCCGAGCGCAACATGCTGGCCAAGCTGCGCTCCGAGGTCGGGTCTGAAATCACACACAAGCTCGAGCAGATGTTCAAGGATCAGGAGATTGCCAGGGATGAGATGAGCGCGTACAACCAATGGTGTGCGGCCAACGCCAGCCGGAGGTCGCCCGTCGACCTCCACGTCATGGTCCTCTCAGCTGCCGCTTGGCCAACCTACCCAGACGTAAATCTAAACCTGCCAGACGAGGTGGCCAGGCAGTCGGAGAGATTCGACACATTCTACAAGAGCATGCACACCGGTAGGACCCTCACGTGGAAACACTCCCTGGCACACTGCTCCCTCAAGGCCAAGTTCCCCAAGGGCCAGAAGGAGCTCCTCGTCTCGGCCTACCAAGCCGTCGTCCTCCTCCTGTTCAACTCCGTCGACGCACCGGACGGGTTCCTAGGGTACGAGCAGATATCCAAGGCCACCGGGCTCAAGGGCGGGGACCTGGACCGCACCCTGCAGTCGCTGGCGTGCGGTAAAGCGCGCGTGCTGAAGAAGCACCCCATGAGCCGCGAGGTCAAGCCGACCGACACCTTCACCTTCAACCGGGCCTTTGCGCACCCCAACGTGAAAGTCAAGATCAACCAGATCCAGCTCAAGGAGACAAAGGAGGAAAACAAGGCCACGCACGAGCGCGTCGCCCAGGACCGCCGCTTCGAGACCCAAGCCGCCATCGTGCGCATCATGAAGAGCAGGAAGCAGATGGGCCACGCCGAGCTCCAGGCCGAGGTGATCAACCTGACCAAGAGCAGGGGCAGCGTGGAGCCGTCTGCCATCAAGAGGGAGATTGAGAGGTATGTTTGTCACAAGTCTACTTTTGCACTTGATCTGTACCATGTGACTTGAACTATTTGCTAACGGATTCATTCAACCCGCTGCAGCCTGATAGAGAAGGACTACATTGACCGAGAAGGCAACGGCTACGTGTACCTAGCATAGCATAGCATGACATGACATGACACGGCTCGGCAAAGGGGGGAATCTCAGCGTGAGGCGGGACGAGGTTTTTTGCACAAGAGGCGGGCATGGCGCAACAAAAGGCAGGATACAGAAAAAAACGGTTGTGTCTATTCTTCCAACCACACACTACACACGAGCATCATGACGAATCGGTGCATCAGAGCATGAGCTGGAGTTTCATGATACAGGAAAAATCATGTGCAGAAAGGAGTGGCGAGCAGGGGGATCTAGAGGGAGATACTTACGAAGACATGCCTTACTTTACCTTAATCATACGTACTACTTCATCACAGTCCATCCCCGACCAGACCTTATCCCACACCGGGCGACTATCCCCGGGGAAATATACTGGGGAGAAGCTGCCCGTCCCCTCCTCCTCCGCCTCACTTTTCTCTTTTCTTTCACAAAACTTGCTCACCTTCTCATGGTGGCTGCATCCATCAGCTCTGTCTCATCATTCATGGACGCAAGGCTTCGCCACACAAGCTGCACTTTCTTCAGTCGGTTTCATGCCTTGATCCTTATCATTTGCCTAAACGGTGAAATACGAGCAAGGTGGGCAACCATCGCGGCCGCGCCCATAAGCAAGCCATCGGTCCAGAACAAGATAAGAGAGGGGGGAAGGAAAAATGAGCAAGAAAAGAAACACGGCTCGGTGTCCCGCCGACCTCTCAGAATTGGCCAAATCATCACCCGGCCCGGCTGTTGTTTCTAATATCAGGCAGCAAGCATGCAGCGTGCCCACGAAAGGGTTCGCTGTAGGGACTTTCGTTATTCATCTCCTTAATTATTTTTTATATCATTTTCCCATGACGACTGCATGATGGACGACTCTGCGAAACGGGCTGTAGGCTCTGGGAACGTGCGTCAGCCTGCTAGTTGACCGGTCTGTGATAGGTCACACCCGCTCGACACAATTGTGTATTAGCCTTGCTGTGTTACGGACAACGACTAGGAACCGAGCCGGCGCACACCGTGGTCGTCGGAGTTGGGCAGAGACTGTCCCGGTGTAGGGGCACGCATCCATGGCGACGCCCTTGTTGTGTGTGATTCAACGCGGGGTGATCAGCCTCAGGGCCTGTGCCGTGCGCTGCTGCATGGGTGAGGTTAATGGCGATTTAGGACACCTGAATTGGAGGGCTGTGTAGCTGGCTGAGGGTTGTGGGTGGTGGTATTGCATTGGCTGCTTACCACGGGACACGCACGTAATCTGGGCAATGTGCAATCGTGCATTCGGACCTTGGTGAGAAAATGTGACTTGTCATCCAATATTGGCTGGTTTTGAGGGGAGGAGATATATCAGTTTTCTGATACATGAGATAGTTTCAGTCCCTCTCCGGTCTCGACCCCGTAGGCCTTCAGGAGCAAAACAATCTCGCACCGGTTGGGTCAAATAGTATCAACCGTGTGTAATAGCTCCGTCTCGCGCAGCTTGGCTCGAATCATGCGGATGTCTCTCAACCGCAGGTGACTGCTATCGGAATCCCATATCCATTTTGTCGAGAAGCATATGGATGTCCCACCGTATGCAACCCCTCTTGCCTGTGACCATCCATCAGTAGCTCGATAACATTTCTTGCCGATCCGATAATCGACATTTCTCTTTGACCATGTGGTGGGTGGGTGTTTAGTGTGGTTGCATTGCAGCTGCGTCACACATTGAGAAAGGAGCCCGCCTCGCCTGGTCGCCTTGCAATGCGCTGTCTCAGCTCAGCCCGGCTTGTGTGCGAACCAGCTACAAGCTACGACACGGCACAGAAAGCATTGAGCATCTGCGCGCGCGTACTGTAAAAGTCACTCTCTCTGCTGCGTCGTGGCCCAACTCATCGGGCGTGGGTTATTCATTGTTGCCCAACCCCACGTAAGCCAGTTCTGCACATCCACAGTGAGGCTCTTGAAGTCTGCTGCATAACATCGAGGAAGCATACGCAGAGTATCCGCTGTATCCGGGCGAGTCGTCTGTGAGAACCACTCGCCCGCTTGCATATGGTGTGCCATCCAGTATCGTGGCGAGCTGGTCTGGCCTAGCGATGACTTCACCATTACCTCGATTCGCGAGGCATCTCGCATGCTGGGCACAACATTGTCCGCCTCATTTTTGGGGACCCTTGGCGTTGCTAGAGGATAGATAGTCAGGTATAATGTTATAAGAAGAACGAGGCGAAGCCCTTTGATGGTCATGGGGGAGCTCTTTCGGTCATCTTTCTTGTGTCCGCCTTGAGCAAGGAGGTCACTCATTGATCGAAATTTGAAAATAGCTTACCTACCTGTGTTAGACTTTGTCAATCACCCTATCGTTCTTTCCTCTTCCCTCTCTTCCCCCATTACTCATTCATCAATCCATCCATCATGAATGGGGCACAAGGCTTCATTCAGACCAGCGGGCCAGGTTCTCCTCGTGAAGGCGGCCGCGGGCCTGCAATCCCTCCTCCTCCCGTTGGTCATGGGCCATACAGCAGGCCCCATAGCAGGGTTGACCCTGATTCTCTTCACATGCCCATCCCCAGGAAGAGCTATAGTCCCTCTCAGTGGTCCAGGGGCCATGAAGACGACATGCCATTGGCAGTTCGTCGTGAGCGCAGCCAGAGATATCCTCGCACAGCCTCACCACGGCGGTCTGAGCTGCGGCCCCAGTATCATGATGCTCGGGGGAGCCGTCATACACTCACAGTTCTGGATGAAAACTCTACCATCCGTGTTGTCCAGATAGAAATGTGCAGACGTGACGAAGATGGCTCTCCAGTCCAACGCCCCTGGGAGCATGCCAAGATTTTTGAGCTCCACGTCACAAATGACGCTGCTATGCGCAAAGTTGAGCAGTTGGAGCAGCACACACTTCCAGTTCTGGACAAACTCAAGGAGGAGCTATCGTCACTCATGCAGGAGAAGCTGGAGTATGCTCGTAGATACCTAGAGGATAAGGAGGAGGATCCTTACTCCTTCTCTCACGAGCTTATCCAGTTCGAAACCAATTTTCAAAAGGTGGATCGTTCACTGCGAGACTCGCGTGAAGAACTCCACGAAGACTGGAGCAGAAGCGACAAGAAGCGCAACAGGAGCAAGGACCGGAAGAGGCTGAAGTCAAAGACTACCTCGAAGGGTCACAAAAAGTCCAAGAGCGATAAAGATAGAGGACGAAGCAGCAGCTCAAAGTCTAAGCACATGATTGCGCTTGTCTCTATCACAGCTTATTTTAAACGGACTCTGCTCCCTGAGGAGTACACCCCGCAGTCCTTCAGAGAAAGTGAGGCTTCGCGGGAAGATGATGAGATGCGGCGGTATCGGCGGCCTGCTGAGTACCACCAACGTGATCGGCGCTCTCCGGAGAGCGGACGAGATTCGCGTCATTTCTCAGACTACGACGATATACACTCTCCGTCACAATACGCTTCACGTGGTGGTGTCGGTCAAGAACGCTATCCCACCAGAGATCATCATGACTATGATGCAAGATATCAGACCCATGCTGGCAAGGGTCAGCATGAAAGACCTGCTGTGAACCATCAGCAGCAGCAGCAATATGATATGCATCAACAACACCCTCAGAACCAGGCTCACCAGCAGCCCAATATGGGCCAGCAGCAAGGGGCTAGCATGGGTCAACAAAGGCCACAGCAGCAACAGCAGCACAACATGCATCAGCAGCCGCAGCCGCAGCCGCAGGCTGGCATGGGACAACAGGGCCAAAATCATACAGGGCCTCAAGATTTCAATCACCAAGACCATCATGGCCTTGCCGCTGCCCACCAACAGAGACAGGCTCCCGTGGCCCCTCAGGGTCAGGCTGGCATGATGCCACAACAGCAGCCTGTTATCAATCAGCAAAGACAGCAACCTCAACCTCAGCCTCAGCCACAAATGCCACAGCAGAGGCAGCCAGCTCAGCCTGGTATGGCACCACAACAGCAGCCGCAACAACCTGCAGCGCAGCACAAACCACAGGGTCAGCCTAATATCGCTCAACCCCAGCAGCAGCAGCAGCAACAGCCTAGCTTAAATCTGCAAAAGCAACAGGCTCAGCCTGGAATGGCGCAACAGCCGCAGCATAACCAGGCCGCTAAAGCCCAACAACCTCAGCCTGCCGTGCTACACCAACATGGACATCTGCCTCAAGGGCAAGGAGGTCACCTCGGTGGTCCCCAGAACCAGCAGCAAAAGGCACAAGTTATCCCAGCACAAGTTGCGGCGCAAATGAGAGATCAACAAGCACAAAGGGGGATGGGTAGAGATAAGGGGCCTCTTCCACCGCCCCCTCACGTGCCACCTCTTCATATACCAACCCCGGTCACCTCAAACAAAGACAGCAAGCACCAAGGGGATAGAAATGGGAAAGGCTCGTCAGGCAAGCGTCACGGTCATCCCGGTTCGCCTCATATCTCTGAAGAATCTGTTTCCGATCACGATGATGATTGGTCAGACAGTGCGAGTGACATCTCTACTCCAGCAACGTCCACCTCGGGCGGATCGCATCATAAGGTGAAGAAGAGCTCGAGACGCTACTCAGAAGAGCACTTTGGCATTCCCACCCGGCATCGTGGAAAGCCCGGGAAGTTCCCTCGTGAGGCCTCACCCCCCTCTCCTCGCAGAGCCTATACCGAGGACCAGAGATACGCCGGTAGGGCGCCATCATCATCTCCTCGAAGGTATTACAATGATGAGCCTCGCTACACATACGAGAGTGCACGTTCTCCACGGCCGTTTCATAGAAAGGGACCAGAATACGTGCGGCGTATTTCACCTTCCCCTCGCCGAGCTCGAGATGATAGCAATAAATACTCGCGACATGAGGGTTATGCGCCGCGCATTATCCAGAGCGTGCGCCGAATGACCCCATATGAGGTTGGCCGCGAGATTCTCGATGGAGATCAGCCTTGGCGTAGAAGTGGCCACAAACGATCTCCTCTAGGAGAAGACCGTGGCAAAGATCGGACAGGACGTCCGTACGAGAAGGACAACTTTGTTGACAAAATACGACGATTTACTGAGGGAGTTCTCCATGAGCCGAGTGACCGTTACGAAGGGCGTTATGAGAGGAGGGAACCGAGATCCAGGAACATGAGTTCTCGAGACTATTCCCCCTCCCCTGAGAGGCCGACTGGAAGGCGACCAACCTATGCAACCAGGGGAAGGGATTGAGGATCTTCGCAAATTACTTGCTTGTGTTCAAAACATAATTATCTGTTGTTCTAGTGGATTAGCTTACTCCAGTTTGTCCGACGTGCATTCACAGTATTTGGTGGGAAACAGACAGACACCTGAAGATTGATTTCTTTTTCCTTGACTTAGCTTACCCAGTATTAATATTCAATCAAGCACGACTTTATGAGCCAGCCACTAGCTATCGATGATGCTCTAGGTCAATGATCCTGTAGGTTTAAGCCATTCCTCTTTCTCGGCGGGAGAGATATGCTGCTCCTATGGCGATACTTTGAACCTAGTGTTGTTGTTTTAGGAGAGACTTAGGGGATACTTAGGCGATGTATCTATGGCGGTCGGACAGCCCGATATGCTTCACGAGGTAAAAACCTCAGCACACTAAAAGAAGAGACGACAGATTTGCCGTAATTTCCCTTTTGTGAGTAGTACCAGGCATGAGAAGAATACAATAACAGCCAAACCACGGTGTCTGTTGAGATTACATTTGACAGGGTAGGAGCGATGTAAGTTAATGGGCTCACGTGACCGCGAGAGAGACGCGCTTGCCTTTGTGGAGCGGCGCGTCGCATAATCTATCCCATTTATTTTCTTCTTCCTGTGCTCTAGGTTAGGGGGGTAGTCGGCCGGGTTGTTAATGAGTCGCCCACAAGTCGCGACTGACAACCTTGTGGATCGACAGCGATCAATTGAAGGCTCTTTGTTTCTGATCACACAGAGTCACCCATCCTTTCGCTCGCCTTGGATCTATACCATCGATAAAAGCCGCATGCTCCCTGATCTAAGCTAGAACACTCGGATCGCCTCGTGATACACCTTCCTGTCTTCCCCGCGGCTGGGAGACGAGGTTCACGACTCTCAACGTTTAGCCTGTCGAGAGCCCCCCGACTCCTTCCTGCCGCTACGAATTGTCCGCCTCTTCCCTCTTTTATGATACCAAGGTTTCCAACTCTGGTATTCCGATCCTCGCCGTCCAGTCGTTGTCTTGCCCGGAAGTCTTCGCAGCTGCTTCATGCCAATACACCACCCGCCCACCTCCAGCACACGATTGTCGAATCCGACGCAATGTTAGGCAAAGCCAACAAAGCCTATGTGGCGAACCCGCCTCCCCCCCGAAACCCTCTCTCCAAGCATCTGAACCAAGCTGGCATCCCTTCAACAAACCAAACCCCGGGTTCAAGTAACGGCAGTGATATCAGGATGCAGTTCAAGAAGCCAGGGTTCCCGGGCTTCTCTTCCGGGCCGGCGAGGACGGACCAGAGTCTCCAAGCAGAAACCTCGACCCAACCTACACCAAAGCAAGTAACCGGGCGAGGTTCCCTGATGTCCTTATATGGACATTCCAGCTCGAATTCCTTCAAGGACGAGTCGAGCCATGCTTTCGCCAGTGGAAATGGCACCCAAAATTCAGTCAGCGATATAGTATGGTTCGATGAAAACGATTTCAGCGATGATGATAATCTCGATCTCGATTTTGAAGCCCCAATCGCTCTCCCCGGCAAACCGGAAGTATCCAAACCAAAAGAGAACATTCCTCCTTCGTCACAATACATGTCATGGTCTTCCTCACCACCCTCACATTGGGAGAAGCCTAGTTTAGCGCGCGCAGAATCGAGTATATCGACCACCACAGGCGGGTCCCTGAAACGTGAGTCGTTCGGAGAGGATGATGATCTGCCTCCGATCAAGAAAGCCAAAAAGCGCAGCCGACTCCCGTGGAAAGAGGAAGATGAGGATGACGAAGCCAACTGGGACACTACCCCGAACGTGGCCAAAACACCAGCTCACCAAAGCTCAAAGGGCTTCTGGGATCCTTCGGCAAGTGCTACTAAAGAAAAAAAGCGATTGCTGAAGAATCAACACCAAACTTCCAAAACAGAAACAAAGGATGAACTGTCTCCGGATGGCGCCCAGATAGTTGCCGAAGTTTCCAGGCCCAAGAACGATGCGTTTGCCCTCTCAAAGGAACAAGAACGCATCTTGGATTTGGTGGTAAACAAGGGCAAAAGTCTCTTCTTCACGGGACCGGCCGGAACAGGAAAGTCAGTATTGATGCGAGCAATCATCAAGGAGTTGAAGGCAAAATATGCCAGGGACCCGGAGCGTGTTGCTGTGACAGCACCCACTGGACTTGCTGCCTGTAATATTGGTGGTATCACACTCCACAGCTTTTCAGGTAAGCAATCCAACTTGAAGCAACCCGACTTGGCGTGTTCAATTTACTTACATATGCCCATATAGGTATTGGACTTGGAAAAGAGGATGCTGCCACATTGACGAAGAAGATCAGGCGGAACCCAAAGGCCAAGAATCGCTGGCTGAAAGCCAAATGCTTGATCATCGACGAAATATCCATGGTGGATGCAGAGCTGTTTGACAAACTCTCCCAGATTGGACGTGTCATCCGAAACAACGGGCGCCCCTGGGGAGGCATCCAGCTTATCATAACGGGCGACTTTTTCCAGCTTCCGCCAGTTCCTGATGGTGATGCGAAGCGGGAGGTTAAGTTCGCATTCGAAGCGTCGACGTGGAATACGACAATTGATCATACTATTGGCCTCACAGAAGTTTTCCGTCAGCGGGATCCGGTGTTCGCAAAGATGCTCAACGAAATGCGACTTGGAGAAATTAGTCCAGCATCAGAAAGGGCGTTCAAGGCGCTGGCGCGACCTCTTAAATTCAACGATGGTGTCGACATGGCAGAGCTTTACCCAACCCGGGCCCAGGTCGAGAACTCCAATGCCTCTCGTCTTCAAAGCCTTCCTGGTGTCGTTCAAAGGTATCCTGCATATGATTCAGGGGAACCAGCGATTCGTGACAAGCTCTTGGCAAATATGATGGCACCTAAGAGTATCGATCTGAAGGTCAATGCCCAAGTAATGCTTATCAAAAACTTGGACGAAAATTTGGTGAATGGATCTCTTGGCAAGGTAATTGCATTCTCAGATGAGAGAACCTTCGACATGACCAGCGCTGAAAGCTACGATGACGAAATGAGCGATGCAATGGACAAAGCCCGAAAGAAGCTGAAAGGGTACAGCCGAGATGCGGATACCGACTCTGTTTCTGGGCAAAAGTTCCCAGTGGTTCAGTTTACCGCTACTGACGGTACGAGCCGAATCATCTTGTGCCAACCAGAAGAATGGAAGGTAGAGCTTCCCAACGGCGAGGTACAGGCAAAGCGCATGCAGCTCCCATTAATCTTGGCCTGGGCGCTCTCCATCCACAAGGCTCAGGGCCAGACATTGGAGAGAGTGACAGTTAACCTAGGCAAGATTTTCGAGAGAGGCCAAGCCTACGTTGCCTTGAGTCGAGCAACCAGCCAGGCAGGGCTCCAAGTGCTCAATTTCAACAAGGCCAAAGTCATGGCTCACCCTCGAGTATGCCAGTTCTACAGACAGCTTTACAGTGTAGATGATGCACATGCGAGAAAGGTGTCTTCAATCACTGATGTAACGGCGAGTCAAAAGGGCCCTACGCTAATACCTAAGAAACCAGCGCCTACTGTCGTCAGCTTGTTAGATGATTAAGATGGTTTTGGCAATTATATACATTGTAGGCATTGGGATATGAAGAATCATGGGAGGCGAACTACCACTCTGTAAAGAAACCATAGAGGAAAGGGCCATGAATGGAGTTTTCAAGGTGTCATATTTCTAGGATCCAACACATAGGCGAGGTCGCCTATACAACAGCACGAATAGGTTTGCTTGATTGTCACGAAGAATACAAAAGAATTCACACTACGTTAGGCCTTCCTGAATCTCTCGCCAGTCTCGCTGCCTAGAAGCCTGATATGTGGGACGAACCGCATACCATCCATCTAGGACCGTAGATGAATAGGTATGTGCCCATTCATGTATCAATGCCCACATTGTGTCTCGTATCGGGCATGATTTCACTGCCGTCCATGCATGTTTCCGCCTGCTCCATGCCGTGATGCGCAATGGATAGTTTCCGAGAGCCGGCCTGGGCAGAACCGAGGGCCTAATATCTCAATCATGTCTTAATACCTGAGACTGATTCCTGGGAAGGGTGACCCTTGTGTGATTCAAATCGCCATTTTTTGGGACAATCTCCTGTTGGGGCATGAACCTGGGTATTCAGCAGGGCCAGCAAATTACTCGAGTTGGCAGGGACCAACGCAATAACGCCTTGGGATTTGCCCATGGCGAATGAGACATGCCAGATAGAATTTCCAACCAGATGATCTTGATGGAAAGGAAAGAGAGTTGGGGGAGAAATGGCAAAAAAAAAATCCGGGAGAAATGTAGGCGATCTATGATTGATTACTTGGTCCTGCCAAGCGGCAACGGGCATCAGACGGATGGATAGTTGCGCACTTGCGACAAAAAATCGAGGTAACACGCGAGGAAGCCTGCATGTCAGCGTCGGCTGAACTATTCGACGACGAAGCGCGTCAGCGTATCATCGCAGCCTATCGCTGTGCATCCACGGAATATTCGAATGGGCATCTATCTGCATGCATGATGCAATCGCCAGGGACCCTACTCATTCGCCGGTAAGTGCTACCAAAAATCCGAGGGTAGTGGTGGGTGAGGCGAGTCCACATCCCGAATACCGAACGCAGCATACCTTGCATGTCTGAGTGTGACAAATCCCGTCCGAGGGTCTGCCGCCTTCCGTGCTGGCAGAAACATGTAATTAGGACTGAGGCATGCCATGAGCGCGCCGGCCGTTGCGAGCTCTCATATCCATGTCGGCGGTGGAGGTAATGCGCATCGGATATGGCCTGAGTCAGTCCCGGCGTCAGGGTAAGCCGTTGCTAGCTGGGACTAATAAGTCGATAAGATCCATCTCCCCGGTCAACAGGCCTGCCTGGAGATTGCTCGCTAAGAGCACGTTCCAGGCTGCCATCGGGTGCCTACAGCAATCGCCTCAGCTATAATGTTCCCTTCCCACGGGCTGGAAACGGGTAATTGTCACGGAAGGACCAAGGACGGCACTAGGCCGGTCGCGGGCTAGCGGTGCGCCCGTTCCTTCATTCGACGGGGCTTTTGGGGGCTTGGGAAGGCACTGACAGCCTGGGCACCTGCCGACAAAGCCTCCAGCCAATTAATAATAGTAATGGCTCTGGGGACAGGCAGGCACCAGGCTGCTAAACCGACGACATGACAAGGTAATAATAGTAGTGCTATCCACACCATGGGACAAACTGGCGGGAAAGACAGCTAATGTCTCCCAATCTGCGGTGTAGCATCTCGCGTGCATCGTACCTACATCGGACATCGATAGCAAGGAGACGCAGTGCCTGGGGTGAGACGGCCTGTACTCGGAGCACGGCGGCCTGCAGTTCTACAACCGTCTCCCGCATTGTACGTAATTTTTCTTTCCCTCTTCCTTCTTCACCCAGCTCCTTGATATATTATTATTAGTCCTTCTTTCTCTCTGCCATATACTTTGTCTCCATCTCATCCCTGCTTCGATTGGGTTTTTTGTCTCTGGATATTTTCGGCCTAGGCATTGGGCTGCTTTGTGGGACGACGCTCTTTCTCTGCTGCACCCAGCGACTCAACCATCGCAGTGGATTGTCCAACGAAGGCTAAATAATTTAAGCGCACTACCATAATTGGCAGCCCTACAGAATTTACCCATTGAATTCTGATCCCCCCATCCTCCCTCGTCAACCTCGACCTCAACCTCAACTTTTCCCCTCGCCGGACTGGACACGTGCTCGCAAGAACCAGCACCGTCCCAAGCTATCGAATTGCCCTGCCCAGCGACTTCGCAGACAGAGAGCCCCTCAACACATACGCCAGCCAAACAGGTCCGCACGAAGCCCTCTTGGCGGCCCAGCACCCAATCCACAAATCGTCACACGATCCCGAATATTTACAACACCGACAATCGCAACGACGGCAGCTACGTCCAAGTCGAGCAGTCAGTCTCCCCTGGAACTTCCAACATGGCAGCCCGTTTCGTCGGCCTGCATATGCGGGTGGTTCTGAGGGAGCCTGCTGGGTACCAGGTAACTGGTACCGTGAGAGATGTCGAGGCTGGAAGCAGCCTGACCCTGATCAACGGTAAGACCCCCTCGCGACATATCAAAACTACAGTCCTGCTAGTTTGGCGCTGCAGATTCTAGCGGGGTAGCGAATCTGTGGAAGGATGAGGGAGAAAAGAGTGTATGCTGACTTTGACATCTGTGCTAGTGTTCGTGGCGGGATCGAACGAGTGGTCGCCCGAGACGAAAATCGATGCGAGCAACATCGCCGACCTTAGTGAAGTCAAGATAGACCCTCAGCAAGCCTACTTCGCCGCCGCGCAAGCCCCAGAACCAGTAGTCAGCACACCGACGCAGGCTTCCCACCCCCATCTCGATGACCCTGCCATTCTCAGCGTCAAACGGCCTACACAGCCAGCAGTGGCTACGAGCTTCCCCAGCGAAGGGGAGCTGTCCCCGACTCTGCTGGAAATGCTTGACGGCAGTGACTCACCAGGTGTGCTGCAAGGCATCCACGTGAACCGGCGGCCGAGGTCACAGTCTCCAGCCGTCGAGGTCGCAGGGCATATCCCGTTGGAGCGCCTGCACTTGGTGGAGGCGGCGGCTGGGGTAGAACTTACGAAACCGTCAGACTCGGAAGAACCCACGAACAATGCAAAGCAGCAGCAGCGGAAACGGAGAAGGCGGCCCAAGAAGCAGGTTCTTCCACCGGGACAGGATTCGGACACAGCGCTCGAACACTCCCCGGCGAGCAAGCCGCAGCCGAGCGGGCGAGGCAAAGGCTGGAGGCAGACACCGATGTTACAGAGCACGGCGGCGTTTCAACCCTTCACATCGTTGAAGCGTCTGTCGCGGGGCCGGAAGGGGAACGGTGACGGGAATGGCTGGGCCTCGGAGGATGTGACGGAGGAAATGGGCGAATTTGATTTCGAAAACAACCTGGCCAAGTTTGACAAGCGGACCATCTTCGACCAGATGCGGAAAGAGGATCAGATCGACGAGGGCGACCGACTCGTCTCCCACAACCGCCGACCGAAGCCAGGGACGAACGGAGGCAAGAATCTGCATTACACGGAAAACGTGCTTGAGATCCCGACCGCCATCGCTAAGAACGCCGGCTTCTGGAACAGCGAGGCGGATGACCCGCATGCTGTCAACAGCGGCGAGAGAAACTCCGGCCGGGAACCCAGAGCATCCAGCTTGCGTAGGAACGAGAGCAAGCGCGGCGTCTCACGGCGGTCGCAGTCCCGCAAGGCTAGCCAGGTGGTCATTGGCGCCCAGCCACTGTCAAGGGTGAACTCCGCGGTAAGTGAGATGAGTATTCTTGTGCGCCGGAGCCCGATTGTCAATAGAAGGAGAAGTGGCTTGCATGCTGACAGCAACCAGCAACGATCGAATCGCCCTGGGCTTTACATCATCTCCTCCAACCGTCGACTGGAAACGATATCCTCGCTGCAGATGCTGAACCTGGAGAACATTGCGGCGAACGAGGTTGGGTTCACGGAGGATCTCATGGCCGAGAACTCAGGGCGAGGTATAGCTGAAGTAGCCCTGCGAGCTCTTGCCGATCCCGCCGTCAAAGTGCGGTTCGAAATGGCGGGCTGCGAGGCGTCGCTGGACAACTCAACGACGGTGATTCTGGCAGGCAACAATAAGTCGAGCGTGCGGGCAATGGCGGCGGCTCGGCACCTCCGCAACAGGAACATCGATGTGGTTATCTGCATCGTGGGAATCGAGCGGGAACGTGATCTGCTCGAGGATCTCCGGCGGCAGGTTGACCTATACAGAGCCTTTGGTGGGAAGGTGATGAGCAAGACAGAATTCTTCGAGTACCTACGGAAGAACGCTGCGTCGGGGACTCGGATACCCATCTCACTCATCATCGATTCCCTGCTGGGCCTCACCATGTCGTTTGAGGAACTGCGGATCGGTGATCAAGCTACCGTGTACGAGCTCATGGAGTGGGCGAACCGGAACGAGGCGTTTACGCTGTCCATAGACATCCCGTCAGGCATCGATCCGACCTCTGGCAAGATTGCCATCATTGACGGAACGCCACTATTCGTTAAGCCACGATATGTGGTCGCTATCGGAGCGCCAAAGCGGGGTCTTCTCGAAGCTGTCACGCCCCCAGACGATGACGACGAGACGGCTTCAGTCGCCCACGAGGACAACTGGCGACTGTTCGTTGCCGACATGGGCCTGGGGAGCTCGGTCTGGAGAAAAGCAGGGACGAAGATGCGGCGGGGCATCGAGTTCAATGGAAACTGGGTGCTCGAGATGCAGTACCGCGCGTTCGGCCACAGCTCCGGCGAATAAGAGAGCACACATGAGATATGATAGCGACACCAGCCGGTTTACACTCCTCTCACTCCACACATTAGAGATCAGCGGCGACAAAACCAAACAAACAAAAGTGGTCATTTACTTTTTTTCATTTCTTTCCTAAGCGATAACTCGGCATTTTTTCTTCTTTCTTTCTATTACATGCTTTCCTACACTTGCGTTTGTACTTGTCTCACCTCTCACCGCAAGTTTTGGTTTTCGCATTTTGCTTCTTTTTACATCATCTTCCAGCATTGCATGAGGAGGACGCAGAGGAAGAAAGGACATGATGCATATGAAATAATCTTTTTGTAACAGGGGATAAAAAATACCCAAGAGGCACAGCTCCTCCATCGGGGGCTGGCCATTTAATTCGCTAGAGACAAAAGAACAGGGGATTCTGGGGAGGAGGTTTGTCGGCATAAGCTGGCAGTCAGATAGTATCAATACAGCGACAAAACTTTTACAAATTTCTTACCTCGCAATGCATCGTCCCTCTTTTTTTTTAAATAATGCCTGCCTGTGTGACATTGAGGTGCCATCTGCTGGAACCAAGAAAGCCAATTGATGAGTGCCAAGCCCTCGGCGGGTTGATACAAGCTTTGCCAAGACGTCGAGAAGGGCGGCAAGATGCTTCCGAAGCCTCAACGACGTGCATGCATGATTGATTCTTGGCCTTTGGGGTACAACGCGATCGAAAAGCACAGGGCGTAGAGGATGGGATGCCAAGAAGAGGCGTGGAAATACAGATTTGCTGGACCAACATGGCGACGCCGTCCATGGCTTCCGGTCTTGAACCCCCAGCCCCCATACATACCTACCTAGGTTTTGCCCCAGAGATGGCGGCTGGTGGGTGATTGCCGAGCCGCAGGCGAAGCGAGCAGAGGATCAAAAAGGCCTTTCCAGCTGGGGCCAGGATTCGACACCTGGCCCCCGTCTCGACGCGCCCAACAGCATATTGACTCCCTGTGAGAAACGTTCATCCAGTTTAATCTTTCAGACATTCCTCTTGATTCAGGTTGGTTTGTTTGTCAGCAGACGGGCGAGCTTATCTTGGATCGCGCATACTTACTACTTTATTTCAGTGCTGGCGGGGGGCCTATTTACAGAATGGGGAATCAGGCAATTGGGGGGGGCTCACTAGCGGTTTAGCTGGGCGGTTTCTGCTACTGGATTGGCAGGTGGTGGGGAGCCTCTACGCCATCGGGTGTGGCGCACTGTGTTCTGTCCGGCGCTAGCAACAAGCATCGCGAGTCATGCGGCCGCCCCATGGACATTCAAATATTTCTGATTTATGTGGTGGTGTGATTTTGCATCAGAAGTGGGGAGCTAGTTTGTTTTTGTTGAATCTGTCAGCCGAATAGTCAGACCTGAAAGCTGTGCTGAATTCTCAGGTACTTGATAGTGTATTCACGAATATCAAGGCATGGACGTGAATACCTTCTGTGTCGACGGAAGGAGCCGCTCTCTGTAGATGGCAATTAGGTAAACCAGTGGGTGTGGGACTGTGCGAGAGAGTCAGGCCCACACGGTACGCCCTGGTCGGACTCGGGTGCTTCATAGTCCAGCAGAACAAGGATTGGCAGAGCTGGAAGCAGAGATGAACCCCTCTCTGCTGCAGATACATACGTACAATGCCTCTCCGTTCCTTCCTCGCTCTCTCCCGCCGCTCCCATCCTTGTTCAATTTACAAAGGCCCAGCGATACAAAAAGGTTATTTTCACCTACTCTCGTTGAACACGCAGAACTGGTGCATGCGAATTTCCCGCAAGGTGTCGCTGCCCCCCCAAATATTGGTCCATTCCCACCTCCGGGCTAGAAAGAGCAAGGAGGTGTGTGTGGCTTAGACGCCCAGTCGTGTCTATCCAGACCCCCCTAATTATCTCTCCCCACGAATCTCACATTACGCCAATTGCCGACTCTCTCGCTCGCAATTCACATTCCTTTGGGTTTACTGGCACTACATTACTCTGAGTGCCTCCTTTAATCTTTTCTTGGCTCCATATCCAGGCAGTTTATTCAACATCAAATGCGACTCCAGCCTTCGCATGCAGCGTAAGGCTTGCACCTGGTCCCTACACTCAGTCTTGGCGCGACACGCAAGTAGCAGAACGCGCGTATTCTTCCACAAGTCCTCCGGATCGCAACCACGAATCGACAAAATTAGCTTCCATGGCACCGTTTCCCTAGCACACGTGCTATCCGTACATATCGCCACAGCCGCCTCGATCAAGGTGGCTGTCCTCAACTCGAGCGGCAAACCGGCCGTGTCTATCCAACAACCATCCGTCTTGCCATAACCATGAGCTTGGTTGGGGGGTCGGCTGCGCTGCCGACCCTCTGCGCATCAACCTTCTTGCCGGCAAGCGCTATCCTTCACCTCGGCGGGGGGCTCGAGCCCATTACCCTCACCCACGATGCCATTGTCCACATTCCGTGCCCGACGATCGACTTTGCGCCGCGAGATACTCCCGAGCTTGGAAGCTACACCGATGAGTCGACCCTATCGTCTGCCGCAGAGTCGCAGAACCACCAGGTCTCCGACTTTCGCGATCCGTTCTATGCGACCCAGTTCCCCATGTGCTATGCCCTGGCGGCCACCACCATCACAGCCTACATGCTGGTCGTGATGCTGTTCATCACCCCCCAGTCCTTTCTTGACGGGGGGATCATGTATCTGGGCAGGCGGGGGTTTGCGCATAACACTTCGAGCAATGTCAATATTGGGAGGCGCCCGTGGTTACAAAAAGTAGCGACTCTGACAGTCGCGATCTCTCTGACGGTGGCGAGCACGCTTACGTTTAATGTTGCTCAGCAGCAGTACAAATGGGGGATTCAGAACGCAAAGCTGATGCAGATCGAAGTCATGGGAAGCCTCGGGCTCAAAGTGATCCGGCTGATATCCGATACGTTCCTGTGGCTGGCCCAGGCTCAGACTCTGATCCGCATCTTTCCCCGTCAGCGGGAGAAGAACATCATCAAATGGGTGGCGTTTGCGCTCATCACGTTAGACGTCATCTTTACCGCCCTTAACAGCTTCCGCTACTCGGCGGACGGCGTGACGGGCACGAGCCGGCCCAACAGTTTTATTCACCCGGTGCCTGCGCTCAGCTATTTATTTCAACTAACACTAGGGATATTGTACGCTGCTTGGGTGATATACTATGCAATAATGAAGAAGCGGTACGCCTTCTATCATCCTCTCATGAAGAACATGTGTCTGGTGGCCTTTATGTCTATTATTTCGGTACTTATCCCCGTGGTCTTCTTCATCCTGGATATCTCAAAACCTACATTTGCAGCATGGGGGGATTATGTCCGATGGGTCGGCGCGGCGGCGGCCAGTGTGGTTGTGTGGGAATGGGTCGAACGTATAGAAGCGCTGGAGCGTGAGGAAAAGAAGGACGGGGTTCTCGGGAGGGAAGTCTTTGATGGGGACGACACTCTGGAGGTCACTGCCGCAGAGGAGTCGTCATGGCTTCGGCAATTCAAGAACCATAGAGGCGGGCCTGGGAACGGAAACGAGGCAGGTGGAAATGGAAGCCCTGGGCCCCCAGGCTTTTCTCCGGGTGGCTGGCAAAATGTCGCTGCCATCGCCAATCGTTACCGTGGGCAAGGACATTCTGGCAATGACCCGGAAGGCCACCAGATGCAAGTGATGGGAGGCATCATACGTCCGCCGCTCTGGCCAGCTCGACCCGTGCCGACTGCAACGCCCGTCAGCAGAACTGATACCGCCAGCGCTGCCAGTACGGTGTACGCAATCCGTTATCAGCCAGCTTCCGAGGCGACAACCAGAACTCCAGAACCCCTGGCGGCGCAACAGAGCATGGTGGATTTGTCAAGGCAGCCCAGCTTCCCGTTAAGTAACCACACCGGCGAGGAAGCGGCTATACCGAACTTGACATCTGGCGCAGTCCCCCATAACGAGCCTAGGTCATCATCCATGTCGCATCGGCCTTCGGACCTTGAATCGGCCACCAATGGCGGGATAGTAAATCCCTCCGGACCTCGAACAGCAACTCCGGGTACTATACCAGACCGTAGTCAGGTTAGGGAAGATTCGTCTATAGGGGGAGACCATAGAATCGCACAAGAACCGGAGGTGTATAGGCCCTCGGGAGCACTGGATGCTGTAAGACGATGGGACCTGCGTGCACGATTCGAAGACTTTGCGGCCAACCAAGCCGAGAGAATCCGAGATCGCATTCGTCCCACCACAGACACGGCAAATCTTCCAGTGAGAGTCATTCCTGCGCCAGCTCGGAGGGGAGCCGCTTTACAACAGGTCCTTGAGGAGGAAGGCACGAACAACAACAGAGAGGCTACATTCTCGGGCAGCGGACATCGAGCAAGCAACGCAAGCACCTCTGGGGATATGTCTCAATTGGGCCGGCGACAAAGCGTCATGTCGATGACCTCCCGGGGCCACGACTCTCTACCATCAAACAACCCGCCGCTGTGGCCTGGCGTACAAGCCCGGGCCGGGTACGACGACGACCAGTACTCGTACGATGATTCGATGACGGATACATCCTCGGTTGATCACCAGCGTCGTGACTTTGAAGACGGATCCGGTCCAACACGAACAACATGAGAGAAACAAACCATCATACCTGACTATTACGTCAGGAAACGGAAATTATGCATGTCTGGGGGCGCCATTTTACGTCGTTTTTTTGTCTTGTTTTCTTCAATGCATTCCGAACATTCATGGGTAAGCGTCGGCGCTGAGGCTGGGAGCTGATTTGTTTTGTTTTACGCATTTGCAATGGTTTTCCTCATCCAGGTCTGCGAGAGCCAGGGACTGTTTGGGCATTCTGATACCCCCTTTTATACACACACGATATATGTGCTGGCACTTCCAACTTCTTACAGCTCGGTGTTATTGGTATTGAGTCCGGATCAAAAAAAGAGAGAGAAGTTGGCTGGCAGTCAAATGTTTGTATCATAGTCGTATAACGGGGGACTGGCTATATTAGGACCGGCGGGCA